ATCCGCTCGTTCCGGATTGTGCGGTAAAATCCACTGCTCCGCGACTGCTGTGAAGAAGGAGGAAATAGCGGATGATTATAAGGCCGGTATCCACGGATACGCGACGCAGGACTCCAATCACCGACGGACGTCGCGTTTGGGCAGTGGTTGCGTCAAGGACCTGACTATCAGTCCCTCTATCTGTTACCGCAGTATTGATACCGGTTCTCCTAGTTGTATTTGATGCGAGGGTCCAACAGAGCGTAGATAATGTCCAGCGAGAGAATCATGACCACGAACGCCATACCGTAAATGATCGTCAGCCCGGCAAGCAACGGGTAATCCGTCGCCCACAACGCATCGATCGCGAGACGCCCGAGCCCCGGCCACGCGAATACCGACTCGATGATGATCGTGCGGTTGAGCAATCCGAACAACACGAAGACCGACAATGTTAACGGCGGAATGATCGCGTTCCGGAAAGCATGTTTCCAACGTACCGGCGCCTGCGAGACTCCCTTCGCTCGCGCGAATTTGATGAACTCGGAATCCAATATCTCCAACATCGCCGTACGAGTGATCCGAAGATACGAAGCCGCCGGGAACCATGCAAGAGCCACTGCAGGCAACACAAAGTTCCTAATCGCGATCCCCTCACCCTTGGTTCCGCTCGGTAACCATCCGAGGTTGACAGCGAACACGAAGATCAACACCAACGCCAACCAGAATATCGGCACGGACTGCCCAAACAGGGCGAAACCACGGAATATGTAGTCGAGCGTTTTCCCCCTAGTAGTCGCGGAAAACACTCCAAGAGGGACGCCGACGAAAGTGCCCATCAACCACGCGACGATTCCCAGTTGAATCGTGTTCGGAGCCTTCTCTCGGATAATATCCAATACCCGACGCTGCGTTGTCACGCTATCACCGAAATCTCCGGTCAAAATGTCGCGCAACCAGAGCGCGAACTGTACCGGCACCGGCTTGTCGAGATTCAACCTCCGTCCCCACTCTTCCCAGACCGCGGGGTCGATGCCCAAAGAGTCTTCACCTATGAAGAAATACCTCGGGTCGCCCTTGACACGCGACAGTGAAAACACGATCAACATCGCGAGCATCAGAGCGATGACCCCTAGGAGCACACGTCTGGCGATAAATTGTCACATGGTTCGGTGAGCCGTCCGCGTTTGTTATCTCGGTATTCGCCCCGAAAAGAGCCTAACCTGCTTGGCAACAGGCTAGGCCCTTCCGTTATTGGGGCTTTTCACCCTACTTGATGATTATGTCCTCAAGCGGGTAGATCATGTTGACCGGCGCGGTGTGCATCGCGACCTTCTTTGGAGTCCAACTGATGGTGTCACCGTTATAGATCGTGTAGACGGGGAATTCGACTGTTGCCGGATCCCAGTGCCAGAACGCTTCGTGGTTTCCGAATTGGACCGCCATCTCGTTCCGATTCTGGATGTCCTCTTCGCCTAGCATGTCACCGTAGATCGGTTGGTATAGAACGGGATACCACCGCTCCACATGATGCCGCCGGCGAACCACGCTTGTGCTTCACGACCTTTGGCGAAGTGAGCAGGCATTCCACCCTGTTCTCCGTCGTGCACCAGGTGGATGAACGACCGGTCGACGAACGTCGGGTGCCAGGTCGTGAACGGGCCGAGGTGGAATTCGACGTCGATGTTCAACGTGTCTTTCCACATCGAAGCTATCGCCTGATGTGCTTCGCTTGGTTCGTTGCCAGCCCACCATCCGATCGTGAAGCCGTCAACGCCGGCTTCCGCCATCAACGCTTGCGCGCCATCAGGATCGTAGTCGACACACCACGCGTCGTCGTGGAGAGGGTCGTTGGCTGAGATCGCCCAGTTGCAACCTGGCCAGGCGAGGCCGTCGTAGATGCCGTCTGCCAACGCCTGCTTGTCGATCGCCTTTGCCATCGCCCAACGGACTTTACGCCCGTTCTCCATCTCAGAACAGATCGAACCGGCCGGGTCCGATGGAACTTCCTCTAGAAGCACGTTCCAGTCACAATCCGAACCTTCGAGGTCGTAGAAGCTGACCCAAGGGAACGCCTCAGGGTTCTTCTTCGCTTCATCGTAGCCAGGATTTTCGAGCGTCTCGCCAGTCTTCGGGTTCGTACGCTCTAAGAAGTTCGGGTTCATTCCGGCGTGTAGGATCACCGTCTGGAGCAACCGCCTTACGCCGCCGGCCTCTTCTAGTCTAGGAGTGTTCGGGAGCGATACGTGGGTTATCATCGCTTCGCCGCTCTCAAACATCGCGATCCTAGAAGCCTCTTCAGGGACCTCGATTATCCGCGCCGATGCGATGTGTGCGGCCTGGTTGTAGTGCTCGGGGAGAGCATCGAGGAGGATTTTGTCGTTGTCCAACCACTCTCGGATCTCAACCGGGCCGGTGCCGACGAAGACGTCTCGCATGCCTTCCGGGCCGAGCTCGTCGTAGATCTTCTTGCTGTTGATGCTGTAAGCGTCTCGGAGGTTCGAGAACAGCCAACCTGGAAGCCGGCTGTCGTACTTGATGATCTCCATTACTGCGGTGTACCTATCGACTGCAACCGTCTCCCCGTAGCAGCAGGTCAAGTCTCCGCCGACGTCGTGCAACGTCTCGGGGTTCACGTTTGGATTCACTGTGTTAGTGCTCCACGCGAAATCTTCAGCGTCAACTTCGCCCCACCCTTTGTGGAACTGGATCCCCGGTCGGATGTGCCAAGTGAAACTCTTGTAGTCCGAAGCAAGCTCCCATGATTCGGCCACGGCCGGGATAACCCTGCCGTCCGCGGACCATTGAACAGGGGTATCCCAGACGCTGTAGTAGTACTGTTCGTTCGAACAAGTAGGCACGCACAGCGCTGGTGTGCCGACTGGCAAACCGACGGTTTGCAGAGCGGCGACCAATGTGCCGGATTGTTCACCCGGCATCATCGCGTCAGCCGGCGCAGAGGTTGCGGTCACGACGACCTCGACTTCCTTCTCGACGACCTTTTCGACCTCAACCTCAACTTGCTTCTCGACCTCGACGATCACCGTCTCCTTCACGACGCGCGTGACTTCTACTTCAGTCTCTCCACACGCGACTGCGAATATCGCGATCGCAGCGCCGACGGCGAGCAACAGGGCTACCACCGCCTTGCGCTTGGATTTTTCAGTGACATAGTTCATGTGCAACACTCCGATTTCGTTTGAGCTGTATTACGTTGCTTGTCCCCAATCGCTCCGCTGACATCGGCCTCACCTGCGAGGCACAACCTCCCAGCGGAAGGGCGTGAACGTAGAATACACCGAATCGCGACGTGTGCGCGTGCGAAATTACACGATTCGTGAGAAATAGAGTTTGGATCGTCGAATTAGCATTATCCCATGTTGTCAATTCATATTGTCTTTCCAGCAAACCTGCCGCGAGCACATATCCGGCAAGACGGGCTAAACTGCGATTCACCCGCCTCTACGGTTACCATTGCGTCCGTATTCAGGGGTTGACTGACACTAGAGGAACACCATGTCAAATCTTCGCTTTGGCGCCTTCCTAGCGCCCCACCATCCCATCGGCGAAAACCCGCTTCTTCAGTTCCAGAGCAACCTGGAGTTCGTCCAACTTCTCGACCACCTCGGATACGACGAGTTCTGGTGCGGGGAACACCACTCCCACAGGTTGGGAGATGATCTCCTCTCCCGAAATGTTCCTCGCTGCCGTCGCCGAACGAACGCACCGCATCATGCTCGGCACCGGCGTGGTGTCACTCCCATACCATCACCCTTTCATGGTCGCCCAGCGAATGGTCCAACTCGACTACCAATCACGCGGTCGAGCGATATTCGGTTCGGGCCCTGGAGCTTTGCCATCCGACGCCCACACTCTCGGTTTCGACCCTATGCTCCTCCGCGACCGACAAGACGAAGCGATGGGAGTGATCCGAAAACTTTTCGAAGGAAAAGAGCGCGTAACCTACGAATCCGACTGGTTTACGCTTCGTGATGCCAAACTCCAACTCCGACCGCTCCAAGAAGACATGGAGTTCGCCGTCGCATCAATGGTGAGCCCCTCCGGAATGACCCTGGCTGGAAAACACCGAGCCGGAGTCTTATCTATCGGATCTATGACTCGGGCCGGTATGCGCTCCCTACCTCTCCAGTGGAGCTTCGCCGAGGAATCCGCTGCTAAACACGGAAATACCGTCGACCGCAAAAATTGGCGGATCGTCATGAACTGGCACATCGCTGAAACCCGCAAAGAAGCCCGCGAGCAAGCTAAGGAAGGCCTCCTCGTTCACAACAACCTCTACACCGTCGGCACCCTCGCCGCTGGTGACGGCCCCATCTACGAAACACCCGACGAGGCCGTCGACGATGTCGCGTTCTCAGACGAAAGCACCGCCGTCATCGGAACCCCGGACGACTTGGTCGCCAAGATCCGAGACATGAAGGAAGTCACAGGAGGTTTCGGATGCGTCATCGGTTTCTACCACGACTGGGCAAACCGCGAAAACACTCTTAGGAGCTGGGATTTGGTCGCCCGCTACGTCGTGCCAGAAGTAAACGGCCTTCTAGACGATTACCGAGATTCCTATCGTTGGGTGAATGAGAGTCGGGAAACATGGACACGCGCCAAAGAAGCCGTCGATTCCAAAATCCAACAACACGATCGCGCCGCCGAAGTTATGCGCACTGAGGGCTACGAGGGCGAAAAAGCCAAAGCCGAATAAGTGCCGCTCATCACGGCGTAGTAACCGTCCAACTCCCGTCGCCATTGTCGACGAAGTCGATTTCCGCTTCGAACACATCGACTATTTCGAACCGATCGCCGCAAGCTTGAATCACGCCGACCGTGAATCCCGACATCATCACCCGATCCCTTTTCTCGACAGATCTCGCCGTTTGCTCCGACCGAGATGACCACATCGGCTGGCCGGCCTTCATCGCCATTGAACTGACAGCCCTCGCCCGGCTGCATCTTCAACCCATCGGCGCATTCGCCCACCACGGTTAGAGCATCGTCCGCCCCTGTCCCAGGCTCGGTCGTAGCGCGCGTTGAGCCGGTAGAAGGAGCTTTGGTAGGAACGGCGTCCGAATCAGATTCACTTTCGCCGCCGCCGCCGCAAGCCAACAGCATGCCAGTCAGTACCAAAATCGACATGATCGCCATGGTTTTCATCATCGTCATCCTCCTGGATTGCGTTCCCCAGCAACGGGTATACAGGTTTGGTTATTCTAGACGACGCATTCCAATGGATCCGTCGTCTCAATGATCCTCGTTACCAACACGTTACCAGTCAAACAATAAACACGTCCGATCAGGCATCCGACGCGACACGGTTTCCGAGTACGGTCGAATGCTCGGCATCACCGCACCGCATCCGAGTACCAACCGCCCCAAACCGATTTCCAACGCCGGAACACCGTAATGAATAGGGGATTGGTCCAGACCAACGTTTTCCACAGCGGCCACTTATCGAAACGACGAGTAGACGGCCGCACGCGCGGTTCTCGTATCACGTGCGCAGTTCCGCCATTGCGTTTGGCGTGCCTCTTGAGAGCTCAATAGAAATCGACATCCTCGCCTATCCACGCCCTCTCGTCGTACCCGCCAACTTCAACGAACACTTCCTTCCGGCAAAAGTGCGTCGATCCTTGCACCATGTCAGTCAAGCGAACCAACACACGCCATATGCCCAAGTAGATGTGCATCGTACGACGATTTGGTCGGTAATCCACATCAACGCCACCATCAACACATTTCGAATCGCTCATCACCGAATTGATCTCCGCGAGCAACGATTCCGGAATTAAAACGTCAGCGTCGACAAATACCAAAACATCACCCCCGGCATGTCGCGCCTCGGTGTTGCGAGCCCGCGAAATCCCCTGAACGTCCTCTTCAACTACCGTCGCGCCCTTTGATCGAACGACTTCTGCGGTGCCATCCACGCTGTTGTTATCTACGACGATGGTCTCAACATCAACGTCTTCTCGGTTGAGCAAATGCGCGGAGGCAACCTCAACCGCGTCGAGTGTCGCGGGCAGGTAGCCCTCTTCGTTAAATGCAGGGATGATGATGCTGAATTTCACAAGATTTCAACGCCTCAACCGAGTAACCTATTCGCATCGCACGAACCGCGATGTTGGCGCCAAAGCCTCGACCGGGTTCCACGAAGAAGTTTAAGACCACACCATGAAAATCACCCAGATCGAAACCATCCGTATCGCCGAGCAACCCCATAACCTTTGGGTCCAAATCCACACCGACGAAGGGATCGTCGGCCTCGGCGAAACCTTCTACGCCGCCACGGTCGTTGAGTCTGCGGTACACGACCACTTCGGCCCGTTGCTTATCGGTCGCGACCCGTTCCCCATCGAGCGCCACTGGGAGGCGATGTTCCGACTCTCCGATCACGCCGGCTACGGCGGAGCCGAGATGCGCGCGATTTCCGCGCTCGACATCGCACTCTGGGACATCAAGGGACAAGCCCTCGGCGTACCTGTTTACGAACTTCTCGGCGGTGCAGTCCGAACTAAGATCCGCGTCTACGCCACCTCCTTGCAATTCCACGGAGCCGGCGAGCAAGCCAAGGGGCTCCTTGACGAAGGCATCACTGCCATGAAGGGTGGACCAACCATCGGTCTCGCCCAGGCATCCGATGGACAGTTCCTGTCGCCCAATGAACTCGACATGGCGCTGAAACCCTATCCGGGATATCCGCGACGCCGTTGGCATGGACATGCAGATTGCGAACGACGGTCACGGCAAATGGAATCTCCCCGTCGCCATCCGCATCGCCCAAGCCATGGAACCGTACGAAATGATGTGGCAGGAAGACCTGATGCCGCTCCTGAATCCAGATGCCTTGGCACGTCTGCAAGCCGCCACAAAAACGCCGGTGTGCATTTCGGAACGGCTCCTGACCCGTTGGCAACTCCGCCAGTTCATCGAAAACGGATCCGCGCGGATCGTCATGCCAGACCTCATCTGGACCGGCGGCGTATCTGAAACTCATAAGATTGCCATCCTCGCCTCCGCACACCAAGTCCCCTTCGCCCCGCACGACGCGACTGGCCCAGTCAACATCTTCGCTTGCTCTCAGATATGCATGAGCTCACCCAACGCCATGATGCAAGAACACGTCCCCGCCTTCTTCAAGGGTTGGTACAACGACATCGTCGACCCAAACCTCGATATCCGAGACGGATACATCCATGCACCCCAACGCCCCGGCATCGGCACCCGGTTGAAAGCCGGCGTCAGCGAACGTTCCGACGCCACAATCCGCGTTAGCAACGAACCTCGCAAAAGCCTGATCGACGAGTGGGGACCGCACCCAGCACGCACACCCGAAAGCCAAGCGAGAGTCGATGAGTTAGAAGTCGAGCGCGGGCCGCAAATGTAGGTTGGCCAAAACGAGGAGAATCCCAACCTTTCCGCCAACTCCCTCCCGCCGGAATGGTCATCAGCGGGAGGGAGTGACTGTCCTCAATCACGACGTCAATCGTCGTTCAATTCCCAACCTCGTCGATTCGGAACCTGAACGCTCCGCGCGGGCCACCATTAACCCAAACTCCGAGCTGCGTCCCGTCGCCGACCTGAATGTAGTAGTCACCCGTGACGGCCGGCCTTACGGTCACCTTAGCGTCCCCATAGCCGTGGCGACCATCGCTCGAATCCGGCAATGTGACGCCGTTCGCGTTGTACACGCCGTAAATCACCGCGAACTGCAATTTCGACTGGCCATCCGAGCCGCCCTCAAGCACGATCTCGTACTCCTGACCAGCCGTCACAGATGCGACGAACCAAGTTCGTTCGTAATCGTCCAAGATCCCGTCGATCGGTGAACCCAACGGCACCCTCGTTGCATCGCTTTGACCGTCTAAGACGCCGTTCACCGAACTGACTTCCAGTTCGTAGCTACCGGTCTGCCTGCTGGGATACGACCACGTGATCGGGCAAGCGCCCAGATCGACACTCATCTCATGATTCGAAGACACGTCGATGTAGACGAGTCCGGTCTCAACGGCCGTGAACATCATCCGGCTGTTTCGACCTTGACCGCTGCCGATATCGCCGTACGCATCGTAAACGTCGCCATAGGATCTGTCGGTCTTACTCTCTCCATTGGTATTGGCCATTCCCCAAAATCGCGTCTCCTCCAAAGTGCCATCGTCGGTATCGGCCCCACGCATTTCGATGAGGTAGTTGCGACCTTCTACAACCTCGACACTCCACCAGTCGTGATCGAACACTCGGCGCCCAAGTTCGCATTCACCTGCGCCGTTGCTCGTGAACGTGACGTAACCCGGATCGATGTAACCAGTAACCGGCCCGCCATCCACGATCACTCGACCATCAGTTGTTCGGTCATCCGGCAAGTTCGCACCAATAGGTTCGGTAGAAACCGCTTCCGCAAGCCTAATAGTGCCGCTACCGTCTTCGTACAACGCGGTTGCCCACACGTACTTGCCGACGTCATTCGCAGTTGGCAGGTAGGTGTTCGCATCTGATGCTTGGACCTCGGTGAGGTCAAGATCGGCAACATCCGACACCGACCACAGCCATAGGACCACGCCCTCAATGCCATCTCCGTCGAAGACATTCGCTGTCACCGGCAGTCCGTGGACCGGCCGGTCAGGCACCATCACGACCTCGCCCGGCAGGTCCCCCATGACTACCGTAACGACCACTTCCGCCATAGCTGTACCACCATTACCATCGTTCACGCTGACAACCAGATTGTGAACCGGCTTGGCCGATCGATCCAAGGGTCTCTTCAGTCGTATCAAAACTGAATTGCCCTCGATCACTAGCTCAAAAGCGTCGGAATCATCGCCATCGAGCGTGAAAACTAGAACCTGCGATTCGTCAAGGTCTGACGCCTCCAAAGCGATAACATCGGTCCCGACAGGCGTGTCCTCAACGAACTCGATCGATGCGCCTGAAGTCAGGAATGACGGTGGGTTGTTAGCCGTGTTGTTCGTCACCGCGTAATCTGCGATCGTTTGAACGGCTACACCGTCAGCACTCTGCAACTGCATTGAATCGGGCGCGGTGTAATCGACCATCACCATCTGCCCAGCCTCCACCGCCGGATCGACGGTCAGCGTTACAGTCGAACCGCTCACCGAAACGTCGGTCACCGTTCGATCGACCGCGTCAACTGTCAAGTCGAATGCACTCGCATCAGGCTCCAAGGTCTCGTCAAGGTCCTCGCTCAGGTTCAATGTCAGTGTCGATCCGTCCACCACCGCAGAAGTCAATTCCGGAACCGCACGGTCCATGATCGACAACTCGATCTCGTCCACTACAACATCGTCCTCGCTCATCATCTTCACTTCTACCGTTTCAGTCGCCTCCGAAACGTCGTCTCTGAACGTCCGGATGTTCACAACGTCAGTCGATATGGGGCTGCCCGCCGCGAAATTGAGCACATCGGAATCCGCTTCGTAGTCTTGATCCTTCTGCGCTACTCCAGCGAACGCGACCGAAAGCGTCTCAGGCTGATCGAAGACCACATCTCCGTCCAGCTGCGCCCAAACCTGGGTCGAATCACCTTCTTTGATCTCAAGAGCGTCCGACATCAACCTGATCTGCGCCACATCATTGTCTTTGATCACGATCCGTTTCGACTCCGATGGGAGGTTCAACCACGGAATTACAGTGTTCGGCGCGTAGACGAAAAAGTCCTCTTCGTCGCCATCATCCAAATCGTCATCAACG